TCAAAAGTATTTTTTTAAACCAATACTTTTAGCCGAATCATTCTTTTCAAAAACAAGCCCGTTTATTTTTTTTACTAGGCTATGACTGAAATAACTTTGGAAGGAATGGAAGACAAAAAACAAAAGTTGTTACACATGAAAAAAAAATGAATGAAGTGATTTTTTAAAATGAGATGGTTCCGTATTCTACCCACCTTGATAACCCACGAATGTTGTATTCTGTTCCGTTTTCAAGCCACAAAAATCTTGTTTCTCATATAACTATTTCTTTCAATATCAAATTTTATTTAATGTTTTAAAAAAGTTTAAATTTAAATTAGTAAATTTTGGGATTTATTAAATATGTCGTTGTAGTCTAATTGTTATTATTACTGCTATAAAAACAGGAACTACAGAAAGGTGTGGTCGTATTTTAGGGTACTTTGGTTAACCCGGTAGTGGTATTCTGGTCTAAAACATTCCGAAGTCGTTTTACAAAACTAAATATTGCCGCGTACAGGGGAAAATAGCACTTGAGTTCTGTTGAATCTTATAAAATAACAGTCGAAACTGTCGTACGGATGTCGCGATCGGCCTCTAAAGGGTACTAAAATTTGCTTTGAAACGACTTTTATAAATATTTAAAGACTGCAGTAAAAGCTGTTTCACTCTTAAAACATCATTTAACTTGTTCTGAAAGCGGCTTGTACGTTCTTAATAAATTTTAATATATTTTATTGGATTTCAAAACATTTTGCACTTTTGTATCAAAGTGTTGTGAGAGTTATTGTTAATTTGAGATATATTTCGTGGCACAATGTTTTTTATCGGTTTCATAAATCCCACCAGATCTACTCGAACTAATCTAACAAAACAAGAATCCACAAGAATCCACCTAATTTTATTCTTGTATTTTCTTTCAATCATCAGTATGCTAAAATTTATATGAAGTACATAAAGGAAGCAACATTTATGTATGTAGTAAGTCAGTGGCTAATCAGAGAAAAAAGATGTCCTGTATTTCTTAAACATGTTGTTTATTCGACAGTTTTTTGTCGCAACATTGTAAATATCAGTTTACTAGCTGATCCGGCAGACTTCGTACTGCCTCAATTGATAAATAAAAGACTTCAACTTTTGTATAAAATAAACAAACAAAAGGAATCCTTTTTTTATGAAAACAATTCAAAAATACTCGGAATTAAAAAAAATCGAGCATTTTCATATTTATTCACCTTTTAAACCTTCTCTGGACTTTCACAAATAATTCAAGACCAAAATTAGCAAAATCGGTCCAGCCGTTCCCGAGTTTTAGCGAGACTAACGAACAGCAATTCATTTTTATATATATAGAGATAAATGTTATTTTTCATTTGTTTTCTTTTTATCCCTTTTTAATGGGGCAGTGGCAAGCTTTCAACCTTTTATTTTGAATTCGAGTTTTTGCTTTTTAAGCCGCTAGAAATTAAACTTCATAAATCGAAAGTAATCGATGAACAAAAACTGACACTAAAGTTTTTAAATAAATAAATAGGATTTTAATTGTAATCTGACAGGAACTACTTCCAAAGACGAACTACTTATCTGTTCAAACACAAACTTTAATAATAATGCTAAGCTACAGGGATTGTTACTAGGTGATATCAAAATCATTAGTTACATTTATTTTATTAGTTCTTCTAAATCAGAAACAACTTTGGCTGTGATTGTACGTTGTGTAATATTTTGCGAATGTAATCATTTGTGAATATAATATTTTGCTTATCTAATATAAGAACAAAGGAGTAATGCAGTCCAAGTATTGAATTCTTCAATAAGTCTAATTTGGTGGTAGCAATGACGTCTCATAGTTAGCTTATGTATTTGACGTGGATGGGGGTTTAGTATGCAAATCGTTTACCATTATTATTTAGAAATATAATAAAGTTTTATGTTCTATTGGTTACTTACTAAACGCCTGTGTATTAATGATTCTTTATGTCTTAGTTCCTAAAATAATTAATTATGAAATTTCGAGTTTCAAGATTCACAGATTATCTAAAATCAACGGTAACACGGATTAATCAACGGATTGCGGCTTGAAATCCCGAAAGTGCTACCAAGATTACGATTTTACATATTAAGCGAACACGTGTTCGCTCATTAAATAAAATGCTGCTATTATGGTATTTTAGAGGTAGGCAGAGGCGTGTTAAACACCCACTTTTTGCCCACTATTTTTTGTCACATTGTTCACAGGGGCTAGTTTACTGCTGACAAGCAGGTATTTTGAGAAATGAACATGGCACAATTAGCTGTATATTGCAAGGGAAGTATTAAGTTAAAATAAAGAAGGGAGGATACTGACGCAGCATCAATCAGGTCAGCCCTCCGGTACCTTGGACCTTTAACATTAGTTACTGAAAATCGTACTTGACAGTAAATCAAACACCTCTAAAAGCAAAGTATGTAAAGTAATTGTAAGTATCATCAAAAGCCTTTAACAGTCCACTGCTGTACATAGGCCTCTACTTAAAAAGGAGGTCCTGGCCTACTATACAATGCGAACCAGACGGGTTTTTTTTTTATATTGTTCACACTACACCATCTAGTCCCAAACTAAGTAGAGCTTGTACTATGGGTACTAGACAACTGATATAAATACATAAATACTTTTTTTTTGTAAATACACACATCTTATACATAGAAACACCCAGACCAAATCAAACATTAAATGTTCATGCACACAAATGTTTGACTTGAGCAGGAATCGAACCGGCGACCTTTGGAATAACAGTTCGCTACACAAACCACTACACCATACGGACCTCAATTGGTATAGGTTTCGTTTTAAGTTATCTTCTCTTTGCAGTGCTGTTATCCTGCGTGGTTGCCTTACGACATTCACGGGATGAATAGGGCTGGTGACACTTCGTATTCTCAATCTATCGCCACACGGCCAATAAGCTTAAAAGGCCCAAAATTTCCAGTAACAGCCAGTTTGAGTTACAGGAATGCGACCCTGAGCTACTCGAGCTATAGCTTAAACTCCCCAAGTATGTGTATAAGCGATATCCCTTTATCCCTTAACATCCCTTTCTTGTTGTTATACTCCTATTTTTTCCTATCTTAATCCTGAAGTGCCCAAATTACGGCAATAGGCGTAACGTAACTGGCGTTAGGTAACTGAGACTAAAATTATAAAAGAAAAAATGTAGCCGTTTATTAATACACCTCTATTTGCCTATCTGAAGTTGAGATGTAAAAATAAAGTAAGTAATAAGCCAAATATGAAAGGTCAAAACACATCAGAATCTAACAAACACTGTGTCTTTAATTTCAATCAAGTTTAACAAAATATTTTTTACAGATATAAAGCAACGGTGAATGGTACACTTTCCCAAAGTAATAACATCTCAGCTACGACGTCCGCCGGCACCATTAACTGGGGAATTATCTCGTTGTGTCTTTTCAATTAAATATTTGGACATTTCATTTGCCAACACCGCGGGCGTTCGTGTTTCGCAAGAGATGAAATGATAAAATTGAAATATTTCCTCACTTAATACAAGACCACTAGCTAGCTGTGTAAGGCTATTAAAATACAAAAAGAATTACACTATCTGTTGGTTTAACAAGAATTAAATTAATAAAACTTGACATGACAACTATTCAAATTGTCAGTTTCTATAGCTCCTAAAGTAAAATCTATAATTTGCTAAATTATTCAATTTCAGTACAAAATCTTATTAAAAAGGAGATATAATATATATGTACTTACTTACTTACTGCACAAGGAAGTCGAAGAGAAAAGAAAACCTATTTTAATGTCGTTAAATGTCAATATTAGACTTTAAATATAAGCAGAATACCTTTTAGTATTATTATCATCATCAACAGCCTTTAATAGTCCGTTGCTGGACATAGGCCTTTTAGTATGATATACGAATATTGATGCATCCCCAGAGGTGTAGCTGTAATGACAACGATCCTTTCATCATAGGTCATTGCAGTATCGACTGTAATTCTAGTAACATTTGGTTCGATTTTTTGTAGTTTGTGTTTACATTAATAAGACTTCGATTACATACTTAATGAACTCTATATCTTAAAAAGTGTTTCACTCGCAGTTTTAGTCACAGAATAGTAGCGTGATATGAGACTTATGGCATGATAAGTAGTACCAAAGCAAAATAAAGCATTAGACACACATCCCAAGCTTCTGTATTCCGACCTATAGTAAAATTAGTTTTTAGTTGACCTGTCCTACCTAGAAACGAATTTCCTGCCAAAATTTTCTATTTTTGGATGAAAAAAACATCAGGTTTTCACATTAACTTACGAAAGCTCTTAGTCTTTCTAAATCTGGCCCAGTTTCAATAGCCGGTTTAAGCTGACGTGTGAGGGCACGAGGTAGACCTCTACAGCTCTTTTAACTAGGTAGGTATGAGGTAGTTAAACTACCTCTTACCTACCTAGCTGTGAATATTAAGGTCTTTTGTACAAAAAACTAAGAACTTTAACCACAGACTTAGGAAGGTCCTTAAAACACTAAGACTGGCTGTCATAAAACCCATTCCTAGTTTAAGTGTTCTACTCAACAATCTGCCTACCTAATATATCAAGTAGTTTTAGTAGTAATTAGTCGCTATATAAGTAAGTATTTTATATAACTTGGAATGATTCTAACGTGTACTTTACCGTTTATTTTATTTAGACTTGCAAAATAGCCATAAATATTCTTATTTGTTAATTAATATGTTTTCAAAAACAACACGAGAGTTTCCTGAATTAATACAAAGAACTAGCAACAATTAACAGGCTTAGTACCACTATCTTGTTACAACTTGCAACACACAGAAACGAAAGGCAGCTGTTAAAACAAAGTTATAATTATTTACCACTCCAAGCTTACCAATTCTAAAACAAAGGCGAGTGAGTACTCGCCAAATACTTTCTATTGTTCATCGCGACGGATAGTTTTCACCTGTAATTAAACTTTGCGGTGCGGATTATATTGGCCTGTGATTGCAGCCAACTACTTAATTACGGAAGAGGTCATTCTCCAGGGAGGCCATCGGATCGCAGCTCCCCTGAAGATTTACTGCTCTTGACCTCACTTGATCCAAACCTCGCCGACAACTTGTAATTATAACATCGATTACAATCACTGTAACAATTATCAAGTTTAATAACGCAATAATGTTTATACCGTTTTATAAGTTCTACAATTGATGTCTCGTTTTAATAGGCACGAAAGAGTAATACACCCCTGTAATGTTTGTCATTGCGATTGTTCTTGGGGTAATTTCTGCGACTTTCTAAACTAATTATACATTCGTTCGTCGTCTGCCGCGTCTTGGGCGCTCCCACTGGAAAATTAGAATTTTATACTGTCGTTTTTGCGACAGGATATTAAAATGAGCACAAAATATTAAAAATTGAAATTTTCGTTGCAATTTCCTGTGTTTTATTGATTTCATTTCCCCGTCATGCTTTCAATAAGCATTTCCACAATAATAGAGCTATTCTAGTCTTTACCTACATTCATAAATGTTATTTAAAAATACAAATATCAACTAACTATAATCAATAATCAAACATCAATCATCAAACTATATCAACTGTAAGGAAAATGTATTTTTTAAAAATATTTTCAAATTTAAATACCACTATTCGGGGATGGCGGGGGACTTGAAATAACATGGTCCAGATTCTCCCAAGAGTACGGCACCTGAGACCGGCCATCAGGGCGGTTTTTTTATTAGAAACACCACATACTCCTGGTTCCGGGATTTCCGAGGAGCGGGAGATCTGAAGGGATTTCCACCACGTCAACAAAAAAAGGCTTAACTGCCCACCCAGGAGCCAATTTCCTTTGTAAAAATAAATTAATATGACAGCGTTCAAGAGAACTTGCAGCAATTACTTAGAGAACGGCGTTAGTGTCATAAAACCAATGAACTACTCGTCCCGTCCATTACTAGTCAGGTTTACGATTCAAACCAAAAGAAGTTCTTGGACAAACGCATATCCTCACTTTTAAATAGTTTAGCGAAGGACATCGGGACTTTCAGAATCAGAACTTTTCCACGCTGTTTCTTCACTGTACTCTGTAATAATTTATTCAGGAAAAAAATGTCAAAAGTATTAGCCCAAAACAAGGGTAGTACTCCTTAGCAAAGCGAAAGACAAAATGAAGTAAAATAGGCATTTAAACAGGGAAGCCTCATAGCATCCAAATATATATATTGGATTTCTAAAATATGGGATTTATATAAAATATGACAGAATTGCCTAAACGCACGGAAATTTACCCTAGTTGACACCAGATCCTAATAGTATACTGCAACAGATGTCACCTGCAAGCTATTCAGCTTTATATTACGTTCATTATACTAAAAACTACATTTCTAGAGGAAATTATGAATAGACTGTTCACAGTTTTAAAGTTAGGTGTTGAGCATTGACTCAATGGTGACTCGACTAATTTAAATGAATACAGCTTGCTCTTAAAGTTACCATGATCTGTAAGTAAATTTTGACTGGAACGATCGTACTATGGCTTGAAGCGGAATTGGTCGGCGCCTTTTCATTATGGTCTGCGGTATTTCCAAACCGATACGACCAAACCTTAAAGAAAAGAGCGTACTCCTTTCTTAAAGGCCGGCAACGCGCTTGTGGCTGAGGTGTGAGTTATAGGCGTTCATGGGTGGCGTTAATCACTTTCCATCAGGTGACCCGTCTGCTCGTTTGCCCCCTCTTCCAACAAAAAATCAGACGATCACGTTCAGCTTTATGGTCAATATTCAGAGACCCTCGGATAAGTCGGTGATCGCTACTGGTATAACTTAACAATGTAAGGGCTGTTGAAGGGAAATTAATTGTTGTTAATATTTGTTATGTCATAGGTTAAAAACTATTTGTGTATTTAGGGACCTTATACTATTAACGTATTTAATAAGTATATGTTTATATCATATTAATTATAAGGAGTAAAAGTACACCACAGACTACTCTAAATCAGATTTAACAATATCCGTAAACAGGTTGTCTATAAGTGATCGACGTGACCGATAAGACCGCCTTTTGTAATACCAAAATGTAGATGTCCATCCATGACTGTACAAAATATATAATGTAGCGATGTACAATGAAGATGTATTAATAAAAAAATGTATACCTTTATTTTCTATAAGTAACTATCAACGTACACTAACGCATATAATTTATCTATTAAACTTCACATACAACTTTGCAATAATAATAAAAGCCATGATTACAAAAAATAGCGACTCTAAATTAGTTTTTCTTCTTAGGTGGTGGTCCTTTTAAAATACACTCTTGCATACCATAGCCTGGTTCTGGAACACACATCAAGAGTGTTTGTTGCCCACAGTAAGGTTCTGCCGCATATCTTCCACTCCTATAAAAATAGTTAGTGTCTAGTAAACTAATAGATATTATAGCAAGTGTAGTTCATTGTTTTACACTTCCTAGTAGGCATCTAGTCAATGTTTATGTACTTACTGGGGTCCAGGCGGTGGGATACCACCGGCTTTTAGAGTTTTAATAATATTATATACGTCGCACACATTCAAATCCTCCTGAAAATAAAACAGTAGATCAGCGCCCAAAGAATTAGGTATTAACCCCACACCACACATGGAAATATCCATACAAATGTGTTTTATAATATCTTTTAGTTTTACGATTTTAACCGTCTTTTTTAAAGATATATGAAAAATATAATAAAGGTTATAGTCGTACATTAAGTAAATTACAATTTCCTGAATCTACAGGGTCTAAAGCAGACAATTGCATTATCGTTAGCTAAATTTACAGACAACAAATTCAGCAAAATCGTAATAAGAGTACGATGAATGTACAAACATAGTAATCATCATCCACAGCCATCACAGGTGCATTAACACATGCACCCTGGCACTGCACGATATCGACACCGAACATCTTATCATCGGACAGTTTGCCAACACTGCAGCAAGTGGCTTCTTCAACGGCTTTGAGTATTATGTCCGACCCTCGCAACATACATGGCGTTGTTACACAAACTTTCACATTGAACTTGCCTCGGAAACGTCTGAAAAACATAGTAGATTCCAAAAATATCTTAAACCATTTAAGGTGAGTACTAATGTATTTTTAAACCAAGTAGCTTGATAACAGCATCTTTAAGATTTCAGAATTCTAGGTATACCTAAATTTTAGGTATACCTAAAGCTAAAATATATTTTACCAAGCAGTCAATTGTTTATTTTTAGATAATAAGTTAGTGTTACCTTTTTGTCATAGTATAAAAAGTAGCCCATTCATAAACTCTGATTCGAGGAATGCTGAGTAGTTCTGCAACTTTGTGCATAGCTGATATTGGAACCCATCCTATTTGTCTCTGGACAATATCTAAGGCTGAACTAATAGCAGATCTTTGAGCACCTTTAGGATAATTTTGGATGATAGCCGCAAGTCTCTGGCGAAAAAAATACAACTGTTAAATTTTATTGTCATAATTATTGGTTAATAAAAAAATCCCCTCTCAAAATCTTAGGTGCGACTTTGCTAGATACCTCATGATTTATTTTGTTATTATAGTTATACATTTGCCTATTACTCAACTGCTTTTTGAATACCTTAGTAGAAACTAACAAAATATCTGAGACTTTATGCCAAAACGTGACATTCCATAGATGAATGTCTGTTTGCAAAAATCAACCATGCCTATCAAGCACCTATTTGGCTTGGCACCGACTTCAAACAGACTAGAAGGGACTATTGGTATTATAATGTTACCTGTTACATTGAGGGTACTTATTATAGTTTTTTACTTAGATTTGTAATTATTTTTTAATTTTTAGTTCTCTTTGTCAGTGTTGTTTGAAGTCGGTTCAACTTTTTTTTTAAGAGGGTTTATTTTACCATTTTAAGTGTAGGATATGTTTGTAATGAGTAGATAAGTACGATATTTAAAATACTACGTACCGTAATGTATAGTAACAAACTGTAGTTTGTTAGATTATATTAAATATTATATTATATTACTGCTGGACATAGGCCTCTCCTTAGAAAGTTGACCCACACAAAATTTAAGAGTTTTTTCCAGAACTATTTTAGTAAATTAAGTATAAAATTACTTACAAACGAAATGCGATGCCATCCATAGCAACACAACGTCTATCCGAATTATTTTAACAAGATAGAATACAAAATTTCAACCTTTTCTTTTTAATACAACGAAAATTACTGTGGGGACACAAGTACTGCAAGTTCTCTGCGCATCACAACGCGCAGTCTCTGACGGTTGCCATGGTTTGTTTCGCTAAAGAAATACTCGTAGCTAAAACACGGTGTCGGGGCTGTCAAATTCCCAATAATTGTGAGGGTTTCCCTCGATTTCTCTAAGATTCCATCATCAGATCCTGAATTGGTGGTAATGGGACCAATTCGGGAGCATACAAAAAGAATTTTGAAAATCGGTTCACAATTGACGAAGTAATCGATGAACATACATAAAAAAAAAATATATACACAGTGAAACATAGAACCTCCTCCTTTTTTGAAGTCGGTTAAAAAATCTCTAATAAAGAGCCTCGTAATTTGACTAAAGAGACCGAAGTACTATAGCGTGTTTCAAAAAATGAATTAAAACTTACTGACTTTTTATGTTACAGAAACTGGAAGGGCGAAATTTTCATAAACACAACGACAACAACGTTATTACTTTTTTTTAATAAACCGCTAATATGAAAAATTAAACAGTCTTATTATTAGTCAGTTATTCTTTAAATATTTAGAGAGTATTTGATGATGTGCAACAGTTCTCGATATACTACAGTGTAGTGCAGTCACTACAAATTAGATAGGGTGATACATTACAGTATCCGAGGGGATTTCCGCAGTATCCGAGGGGATTTCCGCACGGAAAAAAAAAAGGGTGATACATTACTCCTAAACCAATTTTTCTGTCAAGAAATATATTTATATAACTGTCTGTACTATATATATATAGAAATTATGTACAAAACTGACTTGAATAATATATAAAAACCATTTTAGAAGCGAGTTGCACATCGTTTCACAATTTGAGCTCAATCCGTGCAGAACTTTGAGTTTTTGAAGCACACACAAACCAATTAAAATTTTATTATATTTAGAATATTACAAATTAAAGTCATTATTGAGCAAATTTTAGGTATATTACGTAAACATATAAGTTTTACCTAGTAGAAAACATTAACTACGTACATATGTGACTTTCAAAGAATATATATACGGGGCAGATGGTGCCTTTACCTCAAGTTGTAAGCCCTGGATCTGGAGACTCGGTACCGTTTAATAGACTAAACTTAGGTCGTTTCTACATAACTTCAGAAAGTTCGCTATCCACGCTCAAAGAACCGCTTATTGCAGTAAATATTATATGAAAAATAATATACACCTTCCCTAAGAGCTAATAATTGGGTTTCGGTTTTTGTTACACTTTTATTATGTTAAGATCCATACATACAATTCTGATTACATTATAACGTATTACATAGTTTAATAGTTTACAGTGTTTCATAGTTGCACATTTATAACTAGTCAATGTACTCATAAGTTTTGTAAGTACACAGTACATATTTGGCCTGTATTCTTAGTACACCATTAATATTGAGCAACAGGTGACATCAAAGAAGGAATTGAGAAGTCATAAGTCACAGGCTGTTGGCTTTGGTTGATTTCTTAAATGCCTTCAATACCTTGAGTCACGATCGACAACATAAACGAAGCAATTTTTATAGTAAACAATGACTCGAAGGCTATTAGCGGTTGGGCTGATAGGTTTGGTTTGGCTAGGAATCCAGCAAAGTGTCAAGCTGTGAAGTGATATCGGCTGAGGCGCTTCCTTCCTTCCGAGAAAAAAGCGGTGCTAGTTGTAAACCCTTATTGTCCCTATTTTGGGTTAGGATGGCGTATGCTATTATGACCTAAATGCAGATCCCCTCAATAAAAACGAGTAAAACCGTCTTCTGAATAACTGCATTCGAGTCATATTTACTGGCTCACGATTCGTCAACGCCGTCAGCTGCACGTCCTCACCACACACCACCACATTCCGTTATCAACTTACCTCTTTCTGCTTTCTACTTGTCATCCTCATTTCAAATTCTATGTTCCTATCGTAAGGGAACCCTCTGTTCCCCAAACAATCCATTTCTGCTATGCTCTACTTATATTTCCGCATGTTTCCACTCCTCTTTCCTAATCCAATCTGTCTCCTTTGGAACGCTCTCTCTCTGGAAAACAGGATAGCACCCAGACGCCTCTCATTCAAGACGAAAGTCCGAGCTCACATTTTACACACCCTAGCAGATTCATCACATCCTTAAAGTTTCATATATATTGTTTTTTGAGTATCATATATACTCGTACACACAGACATTTCCCCGCCACCCAATGGTAGATGGGGAGAAAATGCCCGAGGCATTAAATCCGTCATTGTACAATTACAAAATATGTGCACAAAGTATTAAAATAAAATAAATCAATAAATATATGTATATGTAATTATCTGACTATTTAACATGTAATATAGTTTTAAGTTACTAATAGAATAAAATTATACTGATAGACGTAACGATTATTTAAGGTTCAGAGTACCCCAAATATCCACTAAATATAATATTACATTTAAATTTAATCTGTGTGTATCTATTATATACTTTGTGGTGGTAAATATTATTAGAAGAGTAGTAGCAAAACCCACAAGAAAATTATATGTACTCATAGCTGCAAATATTAATTCAAATAAGGATGACAATCTTGTTAAGGAAATACGGTCTCACAAATTCATAGCCTGAGACCACAGAACAGTACAAAGACTAATATGTCCATTTGGATTAAGGAGCCACTTTTTATATCATAATGAAATTAATGTTAATACTTAGTAGTAAATTGAAAAAAATTGTAGCCTCGATCCTCGACTTTGTAGTATAATACTTTTAAAGTTATATGGACATAAAAGTGGCTCCTCAATCTAAATGTTTGGATTGAGGAGCCACGCCAGATGGATGTACACGTATAATATATTTTTTTGTAGTTTTATTAGGTTGTACTGGGTCTACCAATAGGGATGACCTGGTTTTGACAGCTCATAGCGGCCATGTTTGATGATGGATCTTTGACGTCTCTTGACATTTGTGTTCAGTAAGATTTGCCATTTTATCATGTCACGTTTTAGTTTAAACCAACGCTTGGAAATTGTCCAAAATTATTACGCAAATTCGCATTCTCCTACCGCTACAGTAAGAGCGCTTCGCGCAAAAAACGGTCGTCATAGTGCTCCTTCTGTGCGCGCTATAAATCGCATAATGTCAAAATTTGAAAGTGAATTCACTCTCCACGATACTGCTGTGCCTGTGAGACAAAAAAATGCCCGTAGTGAAGAGAATATCGCAGCCGTTCAGGCCAGTGTTGATGCGAATTCTAATCGATCTGTTCAACGCCGTTCACAAGAGTTGGGGCTCTCTCCAATGACCACCTGGCGTATTTTGAGGTTGGATTTCGGCCTACACCCATACAAAATTGTTTTGGCAGAAGAATTGAAGCCATCCGACCATTGCATCCGTCGTGAATTTGCCGATTATGCACTGGAAATGATGGCAGCCGATGACGATTTTCATCGTAAAATCATCTTCTCAGATGAGGCCCATTTCTGGCTCAATGGATTTGTTAATAAACAAAATTGTCGCTATTGGAGTGAGTCAAATCCACGTGTGGTTCATGAATCAGCATTGCATCCGCAAAAAATAACAGTTTGGTGCGGTTTATGGTACGGTGGAATCATTGGTCCGTACTTCTTTGAAAGTGATGAAGGAAACCCTGTAACTGAGAATGGCGAGCGCTATAACTCGATGTTAACCGAATATTTCGAATTTGATGACATTGATACAGACGACCTTTATTTTCAACAAGACGGTGCACCACCTCACATTACTCGAGTGAACATGGAATTATTGCGTGGAGTTTGGTAAGTTTGGTGAGTCGTTAATTTCGAGAAATGGACCGATCAGATGGCCACCTAGATCGTGTGATTTAACACCTTTAGACTATTTTCTTTGGGGGTTACGTTAAATCTGAAGTATACAGCAATAATCCAGCTACAATTCGTGACCTAAAAACCAACATTCGACGAGCCATAGCCGACATACAGGCCGAAATGGTGCACCGCGTCATCGAAAATTGGCGTGAGCGGGTGACCAGACGGCAAAAAGAGCCGCGGCGGTCATTTGGCCGATATATTATTTAAAACATAAATTGCATAAAATTATCTATCAAATAAATCAATCGGATGCATTTTTCATAAAAAATTGTATGTTTTATTCAATTTTCAAACCAGGACGTTCTTATTGGTAGACCCCATATATTTACAATAATTTAGTATCATCATCATCATCATCAGCCTATCGCAGTCCACTGCTGGACATAGGCCTC